GATCCTCCCCGATGTGAGGAGGAGATTGGCGAAGGGGAAAGAAAACCGATTGATCCCGTCGATCCGAGAAAAGCCCTTGCGGCAATGACGTTCGGACGGACGGCGCGCGGATGAGTTCTGCAGGAGGGGGAAAATGAAGGTTCACAGTACGGAATGGACGAGCCAGAGTTGGGGGACACAAACGAGAGGTTTCACGCCTCGGTCGAAACGCACAATTGGGATAGAGTGAACGCGCTCGCGGCGTCATGCTTAAGTGCCTTACGCGAGGCCGGTGGTATGGTTGGCAAAGGCGAGAATGCGAGAGTGGGAGAGCACGCGTGGTGGGTACGCATGAGGACTCGAATCGCCGTCATGGACTATAACCACCCCCGCGCGCTACCAAAAGAGTGAACGCGGACGTTCACCCTTGAGGGAGGGAGGCTCTGTAGCATAATCGCGAGGACGTTATTTGAACGCGCGGGGTGACTACTGTACTCCCGCAAAATGCATTACAGCGCGCACACCCGCGCCTGTAAGTACGCGCTTGCTGCTCGCTGTGCACGTGTACAGCGCGACGATCCGGAGTAAGGCGCGCGAGCTTACCGTGTAAGGCGCTACCTAGATACTGTAGTATGTTATGATAGATTATTTACTTGTACATTAAATGACAGGGCGACCGGCGGCGGATGGAGGACAAGGACAAGCACGGGCTTGGTACGAGATCCTCCGCCGCAGGTCTAACCCCGTCCGCTTATTCTAAACGCGTTCTCTCAACGGGAACGCGTTAACTAGAAACTAACGCGGGTAGCGGTCGCGAACGTACGCGCGCGAGCTGGACCCGCCTCCGCCCGTCGGTGCTAGAACCCTAACTAACGCCGCCCCAGGGCGTCGAGCGAGCGCGTCGAACCGCTCTACCGCGTACTGTGTTCGCGTCCGCTCCCCACCGCTCTACCACGCTACCACCGCCCGCGTTCTTTTCTGGTGTGTGTGTTTTTGTCCTTTCTCGCGTTTACAGGTCTTCGAAGAACCACAGCTAAACCCCCAACGCGACCGGGGGTTTATGCTACAACTGTGAGAAATACGGTTTGTGGTAGGGTGAGGGGTGTATGACAATCCTTTGACCATAAGGTAATCACAGAGAAGTCGATATAGAACAGAAGGACCTCGAAACATTTCCTTTGCGTATAGAACTTCTGGGGGAAGATCGGCACGAATGTTACTAACACAAACATTGGGGTCAGGTTGGGGTTCCGCCATTACATGCAGAGCTATTGTAGCCTTAACATCGTATTGGATCATGGATTGGGGTTCACAACTTGTTAAAGCATCTTGGATTCCATTCAGAGTAGCCATATTGAAAATCATCGCAAAATAATAATTAAAATGGATCTGGGCTAAAGGCGAATGTTAACCTCGAAAATGTTCCTGTAGTAGCGTGATGAGTGTACTACGTGTAAACGTGTGGTGCTTTGTGGTAGCAGTATTTCAGACACGTGTGTACGTTCACTAGGGCGGGACGATTACTCGTATAACAGTACTAACACGTGTGTACGTGAACGGTGTGTGCGTGTACAATAGTTGTATGCGTGTATGCGTACTCGATATGAACACGTGGGCGGGTGTGCGTGCAGTAACACGTGGTTGCGTATGCACGCAGTAACACGTGGTTGCGTGTGCGCGCAGAAGCACGTGGTTACGTGCACAATGACAGCACGTGTGTGCGTGGGGGATAGGCACACGTGGGTCCGTGGTGCGCCGAAAAAAATCTTTCGTGACAAGTGTCCCTTTGAAATATTGTATTAACAAAAAAAAAGTTTAACAATTACAATTTGGCCAAACAATTTCCAATTACTTCTGGATAGTGCGCAGCCTGCGGAGGGCCAGGTGATGGATAGTGCCGGCGTAATGCTGGTCTGCGTCGTGTGCGTTAGCAAAGCGCTTGACGCATACCTTGCAGTGCAATTTTTCGCTTGGGTATGATGCTACAGAAACTAACCGCTCATGTGGTTGGCCAGCCTCGTGGACTCCACGCTGACGATAAATCGTAAAGGTGCGATAAAACGGGCTACAGGGATGTTGCGTATGAAGGCGGCGTGGGGGGTTTGCTCTTTGTCGTGCGCGCTGAGTAACTACGCGGAAGATGGTAAGTGCGCGGCCCTCGTCGAGGTCGAATGACGGCTCAGCGTCGGTAGAAGTTTCCTCGTCCGAAGCTTCTACTGCCTCTATATCGACGAGGCGAGGGCCGTAAACAGCGTGGAGTGCGAGGCACAACCGTCAAGCTGGACAAGCGATACGGGTGGAGTGGTTTCGCCGCGGGGGGCTTTCGGGAGATGTACGGAATTGGCGATGGAGAAGCGGATGCGGTCGGAAGGACACGGAGCGGTGAGCTTGAGCGGTAGTCGGAGTACTGCGATCCGGCAGTGGTGATGCGGTGGCGGTAACGAAGGTGGCGGTGGCGGCGATGCGGAGTTCTCGAATTACGTCGGGGTGATTGGAAGGGCGCTTTACCCGTGCCATTAACAACTGCGCTATTGGGCCAGGCGTACAGAATTTTGTACATTACACCCAAATGTATAACGTCCTCAGTAAAATTAGACAGTAACTATGAGAGTGAACGTTAGGGACAAAGTTGCCTCTTGTAAAAATCTTCTTGATTTGCAATTCGTCTGACTGAACAAGGTGGCCTTATTCCGAATGCGCAAAAGATTTGATTCGACGGTTGGTTAAGTCGAGCCTTATTTCGGGAACGGGGCAAGACCAAACGGGGCGGCGGTCCCGTAAACTTATAAGTGTCGGGAGACCGACCGAAATTGGCTGTCGGGAGGAGATTTTAGTGAAGGGTAAAAGGGTGGTAAATAGGGTTACCTTAGAGGGAGGGGGAAATGCGGCAGGCTATTGCCTCAGAACCGATACGGAGGGTAAGCACGGTCCGGGGACAGGGTTGTCCGGTTGATAGTTTCAGGTGATCGAATGTGCTGAGGTCGAAGACGAGTAGCGTCTTCGACCTGGCTTTGTAGTCCTATTGACTCTACAATTAAAGTAGGTGCACTTCCATAAAAGGGACGTTGCGCCACCCTCGAAATGTGTCTAAACGGTTACACCCTAAAACAGGTAGAATTGTGGGTGGCACGTCCTTAAGGGACTCTATTGACAGCTAAATGTAGTCTACATAGTCCCTGAATTGATATTGATAAAAAAGAAATGTGATATCTACTGTAGTCTAGTCAATAAGTCTAACAGAAAGGGAACACCGCAAGGCGCATCGCGCCGCATCCAGCGGGCCGAGGATGAGCAGTGACGATGATTCCACGGATGCGGCGGTGAGGTCCCCGGGGTGAGATCCCGTGATGAAACGAGATCATGAGACGAGATCATGAGACGAGGTCCATTACAGACTGAAGTGAGAAGTTATCAGTGGAGCAAGTAGATTAGGACTGTAAGAGCATCTCTTTGAGGTGTAAGTCACGTGATGTCAAATTGGATTTTGGATAGTTTAGTAACTTGTTTACTGTATTATAATAAGTTGCTTAGGCTGCAGTTTTTCGACTCTACAAAAATAGTTTTGCGTTGATTTGAATGGGCCAAGAGTGACCTAGCTGACGACATCTGGCGACGTGAGACGGGCGCCCAAGCAATAGCAGCGCCGAAGCAACGCGCTACCCTTTTTTGCGGCACCCAGTTTTGCTTTTTGCTCACAGTTGCAGGCCCAGCGCACGGCCCGCGACCTCACCCGCACTTCCGCCCGCAGTCTGCAGACTGTCCTGCATTTGAGCGAGAAGCGCCTGTATTTGAGCGAGAAGCGAGGTCATGGCACACGAAGAACATGGAGAACGGAGTGCCGCGAAACTGGCGAAAGTCCTTGGACAAGAACGCGCCGAGAAGAACCGAGGCACACCCCCCTGAAACCGCAATTCACCTCACGCAATAAAATTACACATACACTTTGTTTCCGCCCATACGCATGGCAGGCGCGCAACAAGACCCGGGGGCCGTTCCCGAGCGTTTACGCGGCGCGAATCTCAAGAGCCGCCGCGCCCGCGCTGTCAACGCAACGCGCCGAGCGTCGCGCACCACGGAGGCGGCCTTGCTGTTGCGCGCGCTGCGCGTCGCCCGCCCGCGCAGCCT